GGACCGTGGGGAAAAAAACTGCTGTAACCAACCCTGCTGCTTCCCCTCCAGCCTGGATGGAGCCATAAAGATGTAGCACCTTGTGGTGGGATGTGGATGGGAATATCTCTAAGTTACTGTAACACAGGGAAAAAATATTTTTAAAATAATTGTTTGCTGACAGGAGCTGGGGAGTTTGATGTTTAAAGGTGAGGGTACCAGGCAGGTTTGCTCCCAGCCCACAGGGATACAGCAGACTTGGGTGCTCCAGCCGCACGTCCTGCACCACTGCTGCTGATGGCAAAACTTCAGACACTGCTTTCTTCTGCTCTGGATGTGGACAGGAGATGAAAAAAACAAGAAAAATAAGAACAATAAGATCCTCTAGTCCAGCTGTCACAGAGCACAAGACAACCATCCGGGGATGCTGATGGCAGCCTTGCCAGACCCTGTCCCCTGCATGCCTGTGGGTCCAGAGCTGTCCCTGACCTGCCAGAGGCCAAACTGGGAAACCGGCTTTGTTTGGCCCATGGGAGAGAGCAGCGCAGCCAGCTGTCATGATAACAAATGCTCTGGAAAGAGTCTTTCTTCAAATAAATTAAAATGACTGTGTAAAAAATGCACTGTGCCATTCCCTGAATTAAGAGCTTCACACAACTCCATCCCAGTTTCTGTCAAGTGACGACTGTTTGTATGTAGCCATTAATACATAGTCTGTTTCCCTTTTTCTAAGAAAGAAAGATGTGTTGTCTGTACTGCAAGTCCATTTCAATGTGGGGTAAAAAAATTAAAAAATAAAATAATATCAGTTTAAAACAATTGCATTTAGAAATTAAAACTGAGTAGAAAACAAAACAAAACAGGTTCTGAACTGGAAACTTCACAATCTCACTATCCACAGACAATTAGAGGGAAAACTAATTATGGGGTTTGCATGAGACCAAAACCAGAGTCCTGCTAAGCAACAGCCCCACAACCCGCACGGCTGATACACCCGGCAAACGGCAGAGCTGCCCCGCGCTGTCTGGTGGGTGAAGGGAGATCCAAAGTGCTCTGCACGGTCCCAGGCCTGGCACGAACTGGAGATTTCCTGCTACAATAGCATATTCAGACAAATGAAGTATACTGGATTATCTTTAATAGATTAAAGATATATACAATACATTGTATATATAAATGTTTCAAATAAACCAAAATATTAATTTAAATTTTAAAAGTACTTAAAGATGTAACAATTTAAATTAACAAAATGATTTAATAATATATATGTCTTTAATTTGTTAAAGATAACCCCTTACAGTGATACTGGAAAGGGCAAGGAGGTGCCATCAGCCCCCACTCTGCCATGCACCCTGTGTCGGCCCTGTGGTCCCCAGACACTCCAGTTGCTGCAAGGCCACCAGCACAGGCATCACTGGGCACACGAAACCCATTAATAGAGCAAGACACTTGGTGTTACACCCCTGAACAGCACCATCCGAGGTTTATTACTTTACAAAGGAGAATCATACACCAGGGGACAAATGGCACGAGAGCCATTTTACTGGCATGCAAACGCTGAAGGAGATGACCCACTCCTGGCAGGCCCATCACCTTGTCCCTCGCCTGAGGCAAGGAGCTGGGCAGAAACAGCAGCTTATGCCTCTTGGAAGAGGCTGCACTTCAATGCTTTATTTCAAAAAAGGCTGAAGCTACTTTAAAAAGCAAATCCCCATGCTGCCAGGGTAATGCTGAGGCAAACGACAGAGCAGACAAAGTATGAACTGTGTGCTGCAGCCTGACACCAGCCAGAGGCTGAAAGTGCCCATGCCCAGGGCTCTTCCCCAAAGTGATGCACAGACAGGCACCAGAGCCCTGCAGAACGCAGGTTTTTGTCCAGCACGAAGGACACTCACAGCAAACCAGGACCTTTACTGCTGTCAGAGAGCACCCAACAGAGCCAGGGTGTAGCAAGCTGCCTCCCCCAGCTAACACCAGACCTCTTGGATCCTTTCTATCACACACAATAAAACAAAAGGCATCCATTCACGTTTGTGAGACGTGCACAGAGCAAGGGCTGGGCTGTCAGCAGGCTTAAGAACACTGTATGTGCGTGGGGGGCCATAAACCACCTCACCCGTCCCCAGCAGCAACCCTAAGGTGTCCATCAGAAGAGATGTAGTGGATGCTCCTCTGATTGACTGTAAACCACCTCACCTGTCCCCAGCAGTAACAGAAGAGATGTAGTGGATGCTCCTCTGATTGCATTTCTTTACTAGAGCTGCACAAGACAAATGAAATTCTCAGTTTTGAACAACGCCCAAGTATACAAGGTATGTGCCATGTTGGCTCCAGTGACCGCATCAGAAACAGATGGGGGCAAGGCCAGGGACACCCAGGTTGTGGGGAGCTTCAGGACACCAACTCCAAAGACCACCCGCCAGCCCACTGAGATGAACAATGCTTCTGACATCAAAAACCACCAATACCAGACAGGGGACTGGGATGCTTTGGAGAGTTACCATCTCTGGGCTGGTGTGCTGCAGGGACTTCCCTTCCATTACCCACCAAAACTCTTACTACAGGCTGCCCTGGGTCACCAGCAGACAAGGGTCCAGTTGGTTACCAAGGGCACTGCCAGACGTGGCCGAGTGCTTGCAGGACAGTTTGGGCCAGCTAAGGAGGAATGGAGGAGTTCCCAGTGCGACACACCAGGCGGACAAATCCTACTGCAAACCACCAAGGAGAGGGATTATAAACAAAGAAAAATAAGTTCAACCAAATTGGCAGAAAAGAACACAAAAAAGTACAGTCAAATTTCACAGCTAGAGGCAAAAATCCACAGCAGTCCTTTGCAAATAATGAGGAAAATGCATCTCACACCATTGCAAGTCTACCCAGCAAGAGACTGGGACACCAGCAAGCAGTGCACCAACCAAATTAGCAGAAAAGAACACAAAAAAGTAGTCAAATTTCACAGCTAGAGGCAAAAATCCACAGCAGTCCTTTGCAAATAATGAGGAAAATGCATCTCACACCATTGCAAGTCTACCCAGCAAGAGACTGGGACACCAGCAAGCAGTGCACCAATACCCCAGCCCCACAGCTGCCTGCTAAGGTGGGCACTGCAAACGGAAGCTTTCCTCAAGGTGCCAAAGACCAAAAGCGGAGCACAGGGAGTCCCCAGAGCACTGCTTTGTGCCCAACACAGTCAGTCCTCAGGTGCCAGAGCTGCTGGAGTTGCCTGAACATCATTGCCAAAGATCAATGCAGCCAAGCTTACCAAAAGCTCTTCTCATCACCACCACTGGGGGCTTTCTGTCCTCAGCAAGTTAATTTCTGTGGCCACCCCACAGCTCTCAGTGCCCAGGCTGGGAAGAATTGCTCGCTTGAACCAGGGCTCAGCTTTCGCTGGAGGTAGCGCCAGACAAGGGAACAATCAGGGTCCCCCAACTTCACAGACAACTCCCATTAAGTTCAGCTGGTGTGATTACACCAAAGCAGCCAAGCAGTAACCCACAAGAGAAGGACAGATCAGAGCAGATTTACTGGGCAACAAGAGTCACAGGTGTGAGGCTCTCAGGTTTGCTCAACCCAACACCTGTATCCAGGTTTTTTTGGTTTGTTTTGTTTAAAAACATTAAATAGGAGGTTCAAGCTGATGTAGCAGAAAGCTAAGGAAACACAGTTAACTGTAGAAAGGAAATAATCTGATAAACGTGGGGCAGGAAAGTCCTTGGCAGCCGCTGTGTCTCAGGTTTCAGCAGGGCTTCCCGCAGGAGCCGTGTTTGGGAAAACATCTGCTGGTTTCCATGGCCTGGAGCCGGAGCTGCCGGCCCCAGGTGCAACACCTTGCCCAGAACCACCTTCTGCAAACAACCCCAGGGAGCACAGGGGGTGTCGCTGGCAGCGCCCCGGGATCAGAGCAACCACCCCACTGGGACACACCGCTCCCTGGCTTCGCTGCCCCACAGCTGGGGTCTGCGCAGAGGCACATCGGCACAGTGCTGTCTTGCTCCGTTCATGCTCTTACCCAGTAAGCTGCTTCCACAGCTCAAACTTTGCCTGACATTTTGTTTTAGGAAAAAAAACCACAAAACAAAACAAAACAAATGAATGGCACTGAGGTTATGCCCAGGTTTTTCATGGCTCAGCCACCTGCACGACTCGGGGTCCAGGGGTTACTCAGACTGCCTGAAGCTGCGGCACGCTGCAGTTTTAGTTTGAACTTCACTGACTACATACGAAAAGAATCCAGTGTTGTTTTTAACATGCACATTTTAATGAAGCAAACATTTCTATTTAATAAGTTATAAGATACAATTTTACAATCCTGCATTTTATTCCAGTTTATTTTGTTTTTATTTCCTAGTTTACAATGTAGTGAGCATTTCACATTAAGGCACAAAAAAAGCACAGTATAAAAACCCCAACCTTCCTTTATTTCCCCAATGACTGTGCTGGAGGGTAGTGCATCCACACAGCTACAGAACCGTAAGTGTGAACTTCTCCCTAGGGACAGACAGGGACATTTTAACAGGTTTTCAACAAATTCTACCTTCTCCTAATTGCAGAGTTAAAGCTCATCTGGAGAGATTACTAAAGCCCCAGCAGCTGACAGCAACTCAGATGCACACTGCGGAAGTAGCATGGAACAACCCAGGACGAACAGACGAATTACAATGGACGCTCTCACTCCCTGACCCCCAGC